GTGCTCAGCGGGCCACTGCCCTGAGCGTTCAGTGACCTTCAAGCCCTTTCACTACGCGGTCTAGTCTCTCTATTATAAGAAAGCAGCTCTCACACGTCAAGTGCTATTTAATTATGTCCCGTGTACTGTCTGAGCCCTTTATATGCACTGATCCTGACAATGACCATAAGAGATAGGTACTATTGTTATTTCCGTTCTACGAATAAGGCAAATGAGGCTCGGAAAGGCCTAAGGTAGAGACAAAATTCACACTCAGGTCACTTGACGCCGAAGCCTGGGGAACTAACCATGATCTTATTAGGTAAAGAGCCCTAAGTTACCCCTCCCAGATCCAGGGAGCCCCTGCCTCCTCCAAATCCAGTGCTCCTCACCTGTGGTCTCTGGAAGGGCCTCCACGCCAGGGAGCAGGGCTGTGGGCTCCACCGCCTCCAGCCCCATCCCCAAAGTGCCCCCAGCTGACTGGGGCATGCTGGCTTCTTCCCTGAGGGTGCAGTTGCTGTCTCCCAGTGTCCGGCTGCTTGCATCTTGGGTATCTGCTTCCCACAGCTCCCCTGCGGAGTCTGAGCCAGAAAGAGGGCACAAGGGGGTCTCAAGTCCTCCCCCTCCACTTCCCCAGCATCCTGGCTGGGAAACTACAAACTTATCTCCACCCATAGAGGGCAGCAAAACACCAGCTCAGGCTCAGGACGCTGGGGTTTGTGTGGGCTCTAGGGCTACTCGCTTGCAGTCTGCACTTCAATACCTTAAATGAGGATGTTAACCTTTGTTCCCTTGGGGGGCTGACGTGCATCTATTTCGGACAGAACTCTTCAAAGCCAGAGCTGGGTAAGCACTAGACATGCCAACTCTCCCCAGCAGCAAACCTGATTGAGAAGGACCTGTGGGTGCCTGCAAGAGCCAGGCCCCAGAACCAGGGCAGAGGTAGTCTGAGCAGGAGGCAAGGATGGCTCAAGACTGCTCTCTGGAGAAGGGCAGAAGGCAGGTAGAGAAGGAGGCTGATTCCTACGGGAGGAGAGGAGCTGGGGCCTGGCTCAGGGGAGAGGGCTGGAGCGAAGCAGCTTACCAGGAGAAACATCAGGCACAGGGGCCTCCAGCCACAAGGACATCTCTTCCTGGAGCCCTGTACATACCAAGGAGCTGTCCTGCAGGAACAACCCAGGTTATACTCTTCCAGAGCCGGGCTCCTTCTGTATCAGTACTGATATATCGGCTAACATTCACTTGAATATATGACATATAAATATATATAAGAATATATATAAATCGGCTTTACATGCCTTACTCACAGTTATCCCTATGAGGTCAGGACTATCCTTATGCCCATTTTACAGATGAGGAAACTGAGGCTTAAAGAGATGAAGCAAATTGCCTGTGGTCACACTGTTAGGCAGTGTGACCAAGATTCCAACTCTGGTCTCTCTGACTCCCAAAGTCTGAGCTCTCGGCCACCATGCCACCTTTTCTTCCCAGGGCCCCTCTCCAAGCCATCAGGGAATGTTTAAGCACATCTGCCCTGGTTCTGTCACAGCCCCTTCCCCCTCACTCCAGCACTGGGGACAGCCAAAGTTGGGCAGGACCAGGACATAGGATGGAGGTTCGCTCCACCCAGTGAAACAGGCTGCTTGTTAGACAACCTCACTCCTGACACTTCCCAGGATCCCAGCACAAACCTGTTGCCTCCAAGCGTTGCCCCAATTCTTATAGGACTTTCCCCTCACAGCCCCTCAGGCGTTCATCTGGGACCTAAAAAGAATCCTGTAGCTGCCTAAGCTTCCAGCACCATCGTCATCCCTCGCTTCTCCCCAGAGACCCCTTTCTAACATCCAGAGGACCCCCTGACCCTCCCTCCACACACACACACACACACACACACACACAGAACCCCAGGCCAGTGCTGAGGAGCAGACCCACCGAGCGCCCGGACCACCAGACTTCCTGGCTGGGACAGTCTCTGGAGCCCCCTTGCTGAGAGAGGAGGATGGTGCAGTCCCTGGTCCAGGGGCGCCAGCCGGCAGCTGAAGAGCCGAAGCTGAGCAAGACAGGGGCCTGGGGTCCCAGGGAAGTGATATGGGGAGAGGCTGAGGGGAGGGACTGCCCAAGGGTCGGGCCACTGCTCCTTCCTGCCAGGCAGAACGAAGCCGAGACTGACGGAGCCCTCGCCTCCTCACCCCCGCCCGCCCACGGGGCGGCTTCCCCCCCACGCTGACTCCTCCCCAGCCAGCCACCCCCTCAGCCCAGCGCCACCCCTGTCCCCCTACCCCCAACCATGCCAGTGGCATTTCCCAGCAGACTGGCCCAGTTCCATGTCTCTCCCCTTCCTCTCCTCACCCCAGCTGCTCTTAGCTGCTCTTACAGAACGACTGCCTCCCGGACACCCCCACCCCCACCCCGGCAGCCTCCAGAGTTGGTGTTCCCTCCCCTCCATAGACATTTCGTGGAGCAAAGGTCCCAGCAAGGCCTGGAATTGCAACACGGAGCTCCAGCCTGCTTTCCCAGCCTCCCTCCTCCTCCCCTGCCTCTGGGAAGGGGCCAAGAAGCTCTCCCCACCAGTCCCAGGCCTCAGCCAAGCTGGTATAACTCCAGGGGTGGAGAAAGGCAGGTGCTGGGCCTTCCTGGGAGGGCCACCAACAGAGGAGGGGGCCAGGAGAGAGAAGAGCAGTGGTTGCCCTGGGATAGGGGTGAAGGTAGAGATGGCAGGTGATCCAGGTGCCAGCCCAGGATGGACCTGAGAAGGTATGCAAGTTCCCTCATCTGGGGAACAGCTCCATCTGAAGTGATGGCAGGCTCTGTCCAGCAACTACTGAGACTATATAGTCTTAGCCTTCTTGTCCTATTGCCTGGAACATAAGATCCATCCCTGAAGGTAGACACCATGTTTTATTGACTTTATCTCCCATGTAGCCCATGGATCAGGGCCTGGCATAGAGTAGGCAACAGAGTAGGTACTGTGTTCCTGCTTGTTAAACAAATAAGTAAGAAAAAGAATATGATCCCTTTCTATTCTATACTTGATACTCTAGTCAATTTCATCTCGGCATGTTGATTTAATTCTTGGGCTCTAGGCTCAGATTTTGGGTTCAAATCCTGGCCTTGCCTCTATCTTTTCTTAGCTATGTGATCTTAGTAAGTGTTGAAGAAATGGCAGCAGTTACTACATTCCCAACCCTTTCAGCTACGGGACTTCCCGTCACCTTGAATCTGTGCATTGTTAACCTCTCAGCGCTGATTTCCATATACAAACCCCTCACTACCTCTTTGGTTCTTAGAGCAGCCCCAGGAGAGAAGGTAAATAACGCAAGCTCCAATTTAGAGAGAACACGAAGCTCGTGGGAGAGGCTCCTCGAAGACCACACACAGTGGCCAAGCTGGGATCAGAATCCAGATGTCCCCACTCCAGTCCCTGTACTCTTCCTCCTGTGTTCAAGTCCAGGATACCCTTGTTGCCTCTCAGGTCTGCGGGACCACTCAAGTGCTGAGATGGAAGAAACCGGCGTGGGGGAGGGGGTACTGCAGTGGGAGAGGCAGAGAGCTCTGGGGATGCTTCAGTCCAGATGTGGGAGGCGAGGAGCTGAGGTTACTGCTGGCTGTTCACCCCATGCCCCACTCCCAGCTTCCTGCTCACAGCCTCTTCCTGTTTTGCTGTGAACTCCAGTTCCCATGGGCCCCACATTGAAGCATAGGACAGGGGGCCAGGGCAGGCCGCCAGAGTGACCGAAACAGAGATGAATAGGGTACCAGGGAAGAGGACAGAGGGAACAGGGAAGGAGTGGACAAGGGGTGTGGGGGAGCAGGATGGGAGAAGGACAGGGAAAGCAGAAATAGAACAGGAGCATGGTGAAAGATGGGAGGAAGCACAGGGTGGGGCAGGGGGAACAGGCGGGGGTTGGGGAGCAGAGGCTGGAGAAGACAGCAGGCTGGGTGGTGTTGCAAAATCTGCCCATGTACTCACTTTCCCATTTCAGAAAAGCCCCTCTGACACCCCCCATCTCGAAGTTCTGCCTCCAGCTTTTGTTCTTGTTCCTTCTCATCACAAGGCTCCCACCCTCGTCTGGGCATCTCTGAGTCATGAGCACAAGGCTCTCCATTCCTCTTTCATGTGTTGCTTCTCCGAATCTCCAAAGGCCCAGCTGTCCTGGGAAATTAGAAACCAGGGACTTGCAGGTCCTGGGAAACTAGAACAGTTCTGTCCCAGCACTTGATCCAGCTCCCTCCTCTGCCTTTTCCCATTCCCAGAAGCTCCAGCATAGGAACATAGTCAGTGATGTCACTGAAACACCTACTTACAAGGAACTCGGGATGGGACATTGGTCTGCTGGGGCCTGATGACTTAGCTTCTGGGAGTTGGCAAAAGCCTCTCATCCATTCTGACCCTCCAGTCCCTAGTCTCCCCACAGCCCAGGACCCCATCTGGAACCCTCTGGCCCCAGTTGCTAAACAAGCAGGTCAGGGCACCATCTCCTCCAAGCCAGGGAACCAGGCTCAGCCTCGTCTCAAGCAGAGGAGGAGGAAACACAACCAGTGCTACAGTGCCAGAGCTACCCCTTCAGGTTATAGGGGTTCAGGATCCCCCCCAAAAGGGGAAGGGAGAGAAAAATGGGGGCAAACGAAAACCTGTTGGCAATATATCCGGAGTTCCCAGAGACCAACCACTGGACTTCTCCCCCAAGGCAGGGCAAGTAGTCAGGTGATCGGCAGCTGGAATCACACATCCCTCTTTGCCAGCCCCACCCCCAGGGCACAGTCCCACAGGAGATGTTAGGTGCAAAGCCTCTGTGTCCCATGGGGCCTTTCCTATGTTTCCTTGGTTCCTAGAGGAGGCACTATGCCTGAGAACACCTTTAGCGCTCTTCCAACTCACATTTCTGACCCCTAGAACCTCTAAAGGCTTCTCATTGCAGCCAAGGGGAACCTTGAAGCAAAACTAGGAGCATTCGCCAGCCCACGGTTGTACGCATTACTGGATAACGCTCCCCAAAGGACTCAAATTCCCATGACACAGGCCACCAAGTATGGTTTGCAGTGATGTCAGGGGCAGCTGCTTCCTGCTCTCTTCTCACCGTTCTGGAAAGATGCAGAGTGAGTGAGCGTCTTTTGCAGGCCTCTCAAATGACTTCTGCCTAACCTCCCAATCACAAGATAGAGAACCACCCAGGAATTCCTGCTTCCCAGACCAATGACTTCAGAGATGATATAGGAGATAGAAAGGAAAGAAGAAAAATAACACTCACTTAGGCCCTACTACATGTATATATAGCCTTGGAAATGCTCATAGTTATTAGTAAGGGGGCAAATATCAAATTTGGATACAGGTATGGCTGACTCAAAAGCTCAAATTAAAAAAAAAAAACAACAAAAAACCCCCCAAAACCAAAAAACCCTCCTCACTCCATTACACAAAACTGCCTCCCCAGATGGGAAAAATGATTAACTCTTCTGGATTTAGGTTCGCTTCTGCCAACACAGGGTAGAGCAATGGTTCCTGAACTTGGCCTCACTTTCAGAGACTCTGATTTATTTGGTCTGAGGTGGGCCCATGTGTCCATCTGTCTACCCATCTACATGTCTATTTTTATTATTATTTTGCATCTGTAGTTAGGAACCAAGATGTGGGGACCACAGAATCATCTGGTAAAAATATGCAGAAACTGGGGGAGGTCTAGAAACAAGGGCTCAGCTGTTGGCTTTACCATGTACTTGTGGTGTGACCCTCACTCACCCTTCATGGATTTGTTTCTTGCTATAAAAACTGAAATATCTGCTTCACCAATCCTTCCTACATGGGATACTTGCAGGCACAAAGGATATAGACATAATTGAGCAAGTGGGGGGAAAAAGCAAAGGATGCATTTGCGGGATTTTTGTTCTATTTGCCAAAATTTAGTGCGCCCAAATTTACATTCTGAAATCACAATGGTCTGGCTAGTTTGCAAGTAGAGTAGGGGCATATAAAAAGAAAACACTAAAAAACTCCCACTAATATGCAGCATTTTACCAATTAGTCATGCCCATTCAAACCCACCAATCTGAAAAGCTAAAAAGGTTTCCTTTGTTAGAAACATATTTATTGAAGGTATTTTGGGGACCACCGAATACAGTTTAACAATGTAGTTTGAGCAGAAATAGTCCATTATAAAGACTATTTGACTGGAACTGGGGCCACCAATATGGTTTAGCAAAAGCAATTTGAGTAGCCTATGAGAAACATCCCATTATAAAGACTACTTAACTAGAATCGGAAAACTTAAGTTTTAATTACTCTCTTAAAACTATGTGACCTTGGAAAAGTCACTTCCTCTCTCTAGGTTTGTTTTCTTTTTATTTTTTTATTTTTAAAGTTTTTTTTTTTTATTGGGGAATTGGGGAGGGTAACAGTGTTGGGGAATTGGGGGAGGGGAACATTGTGTTTCTCCAGGACCCATCAGCTCCAAGTCAAGTTGTCCTTCAGTCTTAGCTGTGGAGGGCGCAAGCTCAGCTGTAAGTCCAGTCGCTGCTTTCAATCTAGTTGTGGAGGGTGGGTGGTGTGTGTAGGGGGTGCGTATGTGTATGTGTGTCATAGTCCACCATCCCCTGCGGGAGTCCAGCCGGCAACCTTGAGGCTAAGAGCATGTGCTCTCACCAGCTCAGCTCGGGCGCAGCTCACTGGCCGATGTGGGAATTGAACTGGCAACTCTGTTGCTCAGAGCTCCCGCTCTTAACCAACTGAGCTACTCAGCTGGCCCTAGATTTGTTTTCTTACATGTAAAGAGGCCTAGGTTCGATCAGGGGTTCAAAGGTGCTGATTTATGAAGACTATGAATGGTCTTTGTGAACCACTTGGGATTATATACAAAATTCCACTTGTGTTTGTGTATGTGGACATTTTTTTGAAGGAGAGGGGACTAAATTTTCATCTGATTTGTAAAGGAGGAATAAGAAGGTTGTGACTAAATAAGAAGGTTAAGAACTACTTGGCTACCAGGAATTCAGCTCTCATAGTCTATTCACTAATCCAATAACAACTCTGGAAGCACAGTTTAGATCCTGAGGTATATATAAATAATTGAATCTGGAGTCCTAGGGCAAGATAATGACCCTGCTTTCTCCCCTATAGTTCTAATCAGGTATTATTTTTGTGATGATCTGAAGTGACTTGCTTCTAGTGGGCAGAATGAATTCAAGCATCCCCAAGAGCCTATGATCTTATCCCCTAGAGCTGGGAGTCACTCCCAGCTCAATCACAAAGCCTTGAGACCAAATTGGCTGCACCTGGACCCTAATGGCCAATGGCAAGAGGGCCTGTGATTCTGCCGCACCTACTCCCACTTGATAAGTTCCTTCCCTTTACCCCTATGTATCTCCCCGCTGGTCTGAAATTCCTCCCTTAGGTATTCACTACTTTGGTTTTGCAAAGGCTGAACATCCTGTGCAACCCAGCTCCTTCATGAAGAGGCATGACATACTGACTCTGATGAACTAAAACTGAGAATGGACGTGTGGAAGGGTAGGGAAAGGACTGGAAAGGGAAGTGAGAGGGCTTCTGAGGCTATGCTCGGAGCATGAGCAGTAGGCTAGACTAGGACCAACCTCAAGGACGCAGGGAGTCCAAAGAGCTGTTTACACGCTGTGCCCTGCACCCCAAACAGGACCGCTTCCGAGGAACAGAGCCAGAGCTGCGGCTCAAATTCCACCCGTAAGCAGGGGTGTGAAGAGGGGAGCCCTACACCACCCCTCGCCCCAATTCTGCACCCGCTGTGGCTCTGGGGTCAGACCTGGCAGCACCCCGGCCCGCGGGGGCGCTCGCTTTCCGGGTCACAGTCCGGCCCAGTGCAAACGCCACCTTGGTACGGCGTTTCCCCGGGCTAAGACGAACTCGAGCTCAGGGTTCTCTTTACCAAGACGAGGTCTTCAAGCCCTTTCTGCCGCGCGAGGTCGCGCTACATGCCCACGCTCCTCCGCCACGGCCGGATCGCGAGTTTCCTGCAAGCATTCCCTCCCAGACTCCTCCTCCTCGCATCATCCCTTCCCCACCTTTAGCAAGATGGAGGCGAGAGCACTTCCGGCGTGTGTTCCTAAGAGTGCGTCCGGGCGGCCGCTGCAGGTGCCGCCCAACGGGTTCCAGCCTCTTTGCTGCACAGACTAATAACGGTGATGGCGTGCGGACAGTTTAGCTGGAGCTGGGCGGCTCTTCTTCAGCTCCTTCTTAGCGTGAACCTGATGGTGATGCAACCCACCCAAGCCCGGAGTCTGCGCTTCGTTACCTTGGTAATAAAATAGAGTCGCCCGAGCTAGAAGGGCACAGGCTTGCTGGCGGAGGGCGGGGCGGGCTTGTGCTGGGGTTGGGGGTCTGGAGGAGGAGCTGGTTTAGGAGGAGACGACTAGCCCGCGTAGTTGGGGGCTCGGTTCGGAATTAATATGGAGCTCTTGGGCATTTCCTGGGTAGAGTTCTATCCCAGGAGATAGGTCCAGTGAGTCTGCCCTGAGATAAGGATGTATTCGAATGGTTAGGAGACTCGCCCCTACAGAAGAAGCCTTTGTTGATCTTTTGTTCAAGTTTCCCCCACCATCTGCATTGCTTTTATTTCTCTTTTCCTTTTCCATCTGTACCTTTGGCTTTGCCTGTGGTCTCCGGTGTCATTGCCTAGCCAAGTTAGAATCTCTGGAATCTGGAAGAAGTTACTGACTTCTGAGTTGGGGGTCTTTTGCAGTGGGTAGAGTTAAGGTTTCCCAGAGTGAGACTTCCCTCCCCAACATGGGGCAGAAGTGGGCTCTGTGTTCCCAACAAGGAGACCCTTCTGACCTGTAGGCAAATCATTTTCTTTCCTCAGCTGTACCGACATGGAGACCGGTCACCAGTGAAGACATATCCCAAGGACCCCTATCAGGAAGAAGAATGG